GCCAGCGACTAAGCAAGTATAGATATCGATCTAGCGAGCGCCAGCGTCTACCAGCGTCTGCCAGCGTTCGCGAGCTCTCGAGAGACTAGGGTAATATAGTTATCGACTAGCGAACTCCAGCGTCCACCCAGTTTGCTAGCGTACAGCAGCGTCCAGGAGCGGAGAGTAAAGCACATAGGAAGGTAGCAGATAGAGGGATTGGAGGTCGTGAAATTGATGTGGCGTGTGCAACCGTAAAGTACACCTGCGATCTTGATGTACGGTGTAGTGCAGTTGTCCCTTGCACACGCCGCGCTTGCCCGACGCCTAATCCAGCTGTCTGCTACCCTCCTACTTCCCGATACTCTCCATTCGTGAGTGCTTGTATGCTGGTAGACGTTAGCATTCGCTAGATCGATACCTTTACTTCCCTGGCCGTTTCGAGACGATGGTGGAGGCAGGTGGATGCTGGTAGACGCTGGGTCCACTTGTTCGATATTTGTACTTCCCTAGTTGCTGGCGCTGGCGTACGCTCGAAACGCTGGTGGACGCTAGTGGTCGCTGGTGGAGCTGACGCAAAGTATGAACGCAGACTTACCGGACCAGTTTTCCCAAACGGGAATAACTGGAGAGATATCGGTCAAATATCGGTACCGATATCGGGTGGGCACTCCGTCGGCCTGGTGAGAGTTCATCAGGTCATGTGTTGTCTCATGAAGTCCGACCGATCACGGGATGTGGGTCAACATGTGCCACCGCGACCGCGGAAACTTGTTTTCCATCGCCGCGGCGTGATGAGTATCCTGGTCATATCTGTGTTCAGCAAGCGCCTCCGCATTGGCTGCGATCGCTGTCGCCACCGCATGTTCTGGGGCCACGGCACTTACGAATTAGTACGGTTTGGGAATTCCGCGGAAGCCACGGATAGCACCTTGCCTACGAAGGGGAGTAGGGCCGCTCTGACCTGCAAAAATTTTTCCTGATGTTTGGTTATCGTTTCGCACACATGCTCCCTCTCCTCTCCGCTTGACTGCACATTTTTAGGAAAAAGTTTATCCCTTTGGTGAGGGAGTGCTGATACCGAGGTAGAACCTCTTCAGGGGGGTGTATTTAGGCGAAGAATTCTCCCTAGTGCCATTCCTGGCGCACATCTGAGGGTTTGGCAGCACGGGGCGGGATTACACCACCGCGCGCAGCAGCAGCGTAGTCACCCAGCTGCACGTAAAGCATAGCGGGATGGCAACCAATTCACGAATGCCCGTCCTCTGCTAGCCAGCCCAGTTTGAAACGGGTTTGTTTCGGCTCAAGCGAGCGCCACTCGCCGTTGCTTGACCTTCACCCCGGGAAGATAATAGTGGAACTACTAACAATTTAGGAAGGAACAATGAAGTGCATTTGTGCGCAATTCAGAGCCAAAATAAATTCTTTAGAAAACGCAAAACAAACGGAAACTAAAAATGCTGCCCTATTGGAAACACAAATCAAATTGATACTATGAAAAATACTTACTTACTGTACCTGTGGAGGAAGAAATTCGAACCGTTTAAAGCTAGTCGGGATGGTTTTAAGAGCGATTGAATGAGCTCATCCGCGACGTTTACACCACTGGTTGTTTCCGTTTTGAATCGATCGCTAAGCGATCGCTATTGGGGAGCAAGGCAGACTGAGCTCGCTCATTGCCCCTCCCTTGACACCGCCCCTACTGATCGACGTAATTAGCTATGTGTGGGTTAAAACAGGAGATTACGACCAGAAATCAATTAATTTCCATTAGAACAAGGTATCACGGGAAACAATCGCTTGGCGATCGTATGTCGTGCCTTGCGTTGTCTTTTTTGGGCTATGGGTTATGTTATAGGGTTTGAGAGAGTTCATGCTGATTTTAAACCCATTTCGAACCTATGAACCTGTGAATCTACTGAGGAGAACGACAAGAGACGTATAGGTCCCAACGACATACATGTGGGTATACGGCAAAAAGTCGAAAGGTCCGAGTCTCAAGGACACGCAATAATTAGGCGCACGGGGCATTTTCCACCTAGCCGGCTTGCTGCATTACTTCCATGTTGACTCAACTGGGTGTTGGTTGGAATGCCGTGGATGCGACATTTTCAACCATATGAATAGTTTGAAGTTTTTCTTGTTTTGAAAAATTAAAAAGTAAAAAAAAACGAAAAAATAGTCAAGTTGAAAGTTTTTCCAGACACGACAACCCGCAGCCCAAGCCGACCATCATCATCTGGTGGCTCATTCGGTAGCGATCGGGATCGTGGAAGTTCATTTGGTGGATCTTCAGGCAGTTCTGGAGGATGTCCCCGTTCGGTGGATGCGTACACACCGAGTTAGTAGCCTCTTGTTTTAACCTTTTACTAAATCAAGCCTAGGCGCTGTTCGGCTTGGGAGGGGCATTTTGCACTTTCATTTCTTCTGGTTCCTTTTGTTAGTTCATGTTAACTGAAAGGTCTCATTTTGGTGAAACCTGTAAAATATTGCGAAGCTGCAGAATTATGCAAGTGATTTTTCCGTCACAAAAATCAACAGGTCTTTACAAGATGGTCTGTAAAAGCTTTTGGGCTATAAGACTAATTAGCCCTACGAGCCGAACTGCTGCCTCCGGCCTTACTATGCTTTTTCTCCATTCTTTTTCACATGCTCTCATTGTTCTAGCACTTGATTCAAGGTATTTTAGGCTTTGCTTTCTCCTATTTGTTTTCCGAGCTCAAAGGTTTACGGAGTTAAGCGTCAGGTCGTGCTCGTAGGTAGCCTTTTTCCTATGTGGATAACGCTTGACCATTGAATGCTATTCTACGGAATTACTTCCAGGGCTATGATGTTCGCGATCTCTTCCCTGGTGGTCCATCCCATGTTAATGCAGCAGTATTCAATCCTATCGCTGGCACGATGCTTCTCTTCGATGGCAGGCAGGTAAGCCGTAGGTCATCGCATTAAGAGCAGATTCTGCGATAATCGGGTGGGCGGAGGCTCCGTGCCGGCGCTGTTTGTCGACGGGGGGGGCATTTTGTACTACCACTTGCTTCCCTAGGTTCCGGTTTACAAATCTCACTCTGGTAAAACTTGTGAACGCTTGTGAAGCTGGAGCAAGATCGTCTAGCCACCATCCTGGTGTCAACTCGAGAAAAGGCTACCTAGATGGGTCGGCACATGGAAAGCAGAATGCCCCCCCGTCGACAAACTGCGCCCTCCGTGCCTTCCTCAGTCGAGGCCTTTTATCCTAATTTAGTGAACAAAAGGCGCATGGCAGTGAGTAAGGCGCAACTGCTATGAGGTTCCACCCATTCGATCATCGCGGAACGGTTTCGCTGTTGTGGGCGATCACTTTTGTGCAAGAAATGAGGGTAACTATTATCAGAATATTTTTTCAGGTATACGCCTACACTTACTCTCGGATTCGAACCAATTTCCAACTGGATTCCAGTTTTCCAAAGCGCTTACCATCGGACATCAATTTTTCACCAAGCGGAGCAATTCGATGGATCAATGGCCATCAGATTCTTCTATCGGTAAGTACCATATGCCTTGGGTGAAACGTAAGCCAAGTAGCCCAGGCAAACCCTGCACCATCTCGACAGCACACTTGAGCGAGTCAGGAATTGCACCATAATCCACTCACTTCAATCCTGCGACCGGTGCAGTTTATGAACGAAGCACGTCGTACGCTGGGGACCCTAGCGAGGGGGACATACTCAGTCTCTGGAGGGATGAGGGTCGTTGCTGCCTTTGTGGAAGA